CGCTCATGCCACATAGCCTGCTGTTGTAACCATCAGCCCTATGTGCCAAGTCTCAAGTAAAAAAACATAGCAACGAGTGGTAAACACATCTGCTCTTCTAAAGTACTCGCATGACAGCCGTAAACCAGAGTTGGCTAAAAGGGTGTTACCGCCCACTTGGCGCAAAATACGGGCAATGCAACACGGAAAGATGACACTCTCTGACTAACTTTCACCTTTAGGTCACTTTTGCCCCACCGTCTGAGATTTCACGTTTCTGCCTCGCGCCGCGCTGCACGGGTTCCCCAAAGCAAGAAGAAGTGTAGTTGCGGATTTATTTCTATTCTGTTCACCAACTCTCGAGTCCAATTCAGCGACGGGCGATTGGAGTTTCAGAGATGTGGCTTGGGGCGTGGGGCGGTGGGCGTAGGACGTAGGGCGTAGGGCCTGGAGCGTTGGGCCTTTTCCCGTGCCGCAGAAGTTGGGCGGCATGTGGGTTGGTGCTGTGGTTCCCGGTTCAGTGGGGGTTCGATCGGCCCAAGGGTTGCATCCTGCCTCTTGTTGTTTTGCTGTTATGGCTGTGCTGCCGGGCACACGCCATGCTGGCTCGCGACAAATTTTAGGTTCGGCGGGCAAAGGTATGGCGGTTCTCCCAGCCTCCACTTCTTGGTTGGGTTTTTCACCGAGCTTTCTGTCGGTTCGCACAACCCCTTGTTTCGTGACTCAAAAGTTTGTTTCTCGCTACCCAATCACTGCCGCACCTATCCGAGCAAAAAGTAATTCCTTTGGAAATATGAGATGGGGGCTTTAAAATTCGGTTGCGCTCGCAGGTACTGCAAGGATTTGTGATCTGTTCGTACAGTCACATCGACTCTCGTCAGGAAGCATCGCCAGTTCTTGAACGCGTGTACGATCGCCAGCATTTCATTGTCAAGTACAAGATAATTTCGCTTGGCCGACTGTAACTTTCGCGACCCGTACGCGATTGGCTGAAGGTCGTCGCCAAAATCCTGTAACAGCACTGCTCCGATTGCGATGTCACTTGCGTCTGACAAGAAGTACTGGTGGCGAGATTAAAGCATATTTTAATCAGTCAAACACAGCATGCCGCTTCTCCCCCCACTGATAATCAGCGTCATGAAGTAGGTCAGTTAGTGCCGCAGTTAACCTCGCCATGTTGGAGATAACCCGACGCACGTAATTGACGACCCCCAAAAACTATTGCAGTTCCTGGAGGTTGGTCGACGACTTCCATTCTTGAATTGCCCGAATTTTGGGGGGGTCAATTTTCACGCCTTATGTTGAAATGACGTGCCCCAAACACTCCAGTTTGGGTTTTAAAAACTCGCACTTATAGCCTTTGGTGATAAGACGATTCTGCTGTAGGCGCTGAAAAACCACTTCCAGGTCCTTTAAGTGTTGCTTCAGTGTCGTGCTGTAAATAAGGATATCATCCAGATAAATGATAACACATTTATCGAGTAGATCCCGGAATACCCCGTTCATAGTCCGTTGGAATGTCGAGGGGGCATTCGTTAACCCGAACGGCATGATAGTGTATTTGTAACTCCCGTAGCGATTACGAAATGCGGTCTTGTGGCAATAGTCGACGAAGACTCGAATCAGACCGTAACCGCCACGAAGGTCGATCTTCGAGAATTAGCGAGCGCCTCGTAGCTGGTCAATCTATTCGACCGCGCGCGTGATTGGGTAGCGAGATTTTACCGAAACTCGATTAAGGGCGCGATAAACAATGCACATTCAGAGGCCCCTATCTTTCTTGGGTGTGAATAGGATCAGGGCGGCGAATGGGGACGTGCTCGGTCAAACGAACCCCTTGGCCAGCAAATAGTCTAGCTGGTCCCCTAATTCCTGGAGCACGGGTTGCGTCAGCTGCCACTGCGTCCGAACAGTTGGCTGTGCGCCAGGTTCCAGTTCAATCCAATGCTCTTGAGGGCGTTCTTATGGCAGTCCAGGTGGTAGATCGTTCGGAAAAATATATGGAAACTAACGAATTAGCCGTGCCAGATCTTCGGGGACTGCTGCGCAGTGCTGCGCAGAGCTTATCGATGTCGGCCGGTTGGTCGTCGCCCGTCGATTCCCTCAGATGGACGGCGTACATGTCCGTGCCTTTCTTGACCACGCATGTCAACGTAATTGCGTTGACGCGTGTCGTTATCGGCTCTGCTCTTTGCCAGCTGTTCGCGCACTCCACTGTGCACTCGCCTGTCATCCAATCGATCTGCGGATTGTGTTGTCGAAGGCAATCTCGTCCCAGCAGCACATCGTAGCTGTCGAGTGTCGTCGCTAGCATCGGCGCGCTGAAGTCAAAATTGTCACCACACTTCATGCGAACAGTTCGCACGCGATCGTGTATCGCCAGCGGGGTGTCGTCGACCAATCGGGGGACAGACACCGCTCCAAGGGTAAGTTAAAAAATTTAGCTATCGGTCGGTGAATCAGGATGTGGCTCGTGCCACCGTTGATGAAGACTTGTACTTTTTTTGCCGTTAACCCGTCCTTCTACCAGCACATGGTGATCCACAAGTTCACCCTATTATTCGTCAGAGAGCGGTCGATAGCATGTACCGGTACCACTGCCCGATGAAGATGCTGTTCCTCGGGTGATGCAGCCGTGTCAGTAGGGGGCTCGTTTGCTACAGGCGAGAATCGTTTCCTAGCTTATCCCAATTGTTGTTTTTCCTCTACTTCCGGTTAGGGCAGTCAGCATATCGGTGACCCGGCTGGTGGCAGTGAAAACACTGTCGCTTCTTGCGATCCTCTTCGTTCACCACTATGCCGTTGATCCTGGCCACGAAAACGATTTCCCTCCCGGGAACCCAATCTCATATATTTTTTATTGGCGTCGTACAGGTCAGCGATCACCACGGCTTCTTGGAACGTCGTTGGACGTCGCATCCTCACTTCGTAGCGAACGTCAGATTTGAGTCCAACGATGAACCGGTTCTTTTCCTCGGATTTGGATAGGTCGGTGATTTGGTCGCACAGTGTATGAAATGATGACGTGTAATCCTAGACAAAGGTCAGCTGGCGCCAGGTGTCCAGCTTCGTGCGTGCATTATCCGAGGTGGATATGGGCTCGAACCGTTCATGCAGAGCTGTACCCCACACTTTCTCTGTGCGAACCGCGGTCGATCCGAAAATTGATGTCGATCGCCACCAATCCAGTGCAGGTCCCCTCAGTAGTGAAAGAGCTAGTTTGAATTTTTAATCATCAACAGTAATTCCGACGGCAGCGAAATAAAGCTCTATGGCCAAAATCGAGCCCGTGATGGTGGTATTTTTTTCCATGGGGTTAAACGGGGGCCACATCGGCGGCTTTATCTTGGCCATTGGTTAAAGTTGGTGTGGCTACAGCTGCTGCAGAAACTGTTGCTGCTGCTTCAAAGCGGGTGACGGCCGTTGTCGCAGCTGCTGCAGCTGTCATAACGCATGCCGCGGCATTCGTTGCTCCTGCTGCTTCATTATCACTACGCTCCTGCGACACTTCGAGTGCGATTTCGTCCAATACCGTTTCGACACGTCCAGTGCTGGCGGCATCCTCGGGGGCGGACGACTTCTGGCATGTATTCTCTTGCACCTAGCAAAGTTTGGTATCCATGGAGCGAAGCTTCTCGTTGTCGTTTAACACAGCTTGCAGGCGAGCATCCGTAGCGGCGAATTTCGCCAACAACTCATCAAACTGTGCCTAGTCCATGTGGCGGACACTACGCCGGGTGGGCAGTGGAATATCCGGATTACCCGTGCTCAGGTAAGAGCGTGAACGCTATCGTATTAGGGCAAATTAATTCGTCTAATTCGCGGCCGACCGCTTTGCAACGCAGTGAGCGAATCACTCCCCCCCCAAAGAAAAGTTTCCGCCTACGGGAACGAATGTCAGGAAAGTAGCCCTGAATACCAGACGTTATAAGAATAGCGCGAAATCGAATGTCGAGATTCAGAATAATCGAATGTGGTATGATGGAATGACGAAGCAAGATGTAGTAACACCAGAGAAATCCTAGCCGCGAGATTGAACAGGTTCGGAGAAGGCATCCGAGGACGGGGGGCGCTTCGGAGTGACGCGGGATGGTTCGGTGCGACGTGTTCGGGCCGAAGCTAGGGCTGTTGTGAGTGCTGTGTGGTTCGGTGGACGCGGTAGCGGTGTAGCTCGCTAAGGGATGGAAAATTCCTCACAATCTCAAGTTCCGGTAACCACCTCGCAAACACAATCCGTGCTGGCAGCAGTTTACAGGATTTTCAGGAGCGCGGGTCCAGCTCAGCCCCAGTTGTCCCTGCCTTTCCGGATAGATTGGAGGCAGCTTCTTTCGGATTCGTCAATGCGGCTTTTCGCTTTTCGCTGGCTGCCAGATGTTGGCCTGTAACCAATAACGTCAGTTCTGCGACGGTATCAATTCCTTCAGATTCAGGACAGCATGGCGAGCGCCTCGAGTATTCATGGAGCTGCCCTGCGAACCACCCCCCATTCGCTAGGGGGTTGCAGGGCTCGCCTCACCTCGCCTCGCCTCGACTGGCCGCTATGCCCCGCGAACACGCGGGCTGGAAAAATCAATGGCTGCAGCAATCAAGTGCTGGCAGAGAGGTCTGGGGCTAGAGTACACTTAGCTTGCGGTAATGTTACACCCTAAAACTAAGCGGCAAAAAAACAATCGTTTCCACCCTGACCATTTCTGAGTGCGTAGACAGTACCCCCTTCTTCCTACGGCCTAAGCTTGGCAGACTCCACGCGGGCAAAAACTTTGAGCACTGCCTAAGTTGACGTCGAATTTCCTGACCCCAGAAACACTAAATCAAGCAGTAAATGTTTCGTTTAGAGACCTAAGTTCAAATTGTTTTTCAAGGGTATCCAGATCTGGTCTTCAGGAGCTGCTGTCGGGGGGGGAATACCCTCTCGGCGACACCCCCTGTGAAAATACTCGGTGTAAAAGTACCGCGGGCTAGGTGTACCTCTTTCTTTAGCTGCCCCTGAGCCCTCTGACTCCTATAAATGCACCATCGATTGTACGCGCCATTTCGCCCTCGGCTGCCTTTCGTCTTGTCTAGCATCGCTCCTCCTCCTAATCAACGCGGCGCATTTGCAGGACTTCATCCGATCCACCCAATTACACGCGTTTCTTTGGCTTTCGCGACGCGGCGAACCGACGGCATGTGTAGACAGGTCGCTAGAGCCCTGCTGGGCAGAGCGGACCTTCTCCTGCAGCGCCACGTGGCGTACAGCGGAGGAGCCCACAGTCACGCTGTAACTGGATACAGCGGTAGTTACGGTTACCGCCATGCAGTCGGCCGCCTGAAATCACCCGTGTTACCTGGTAACCCGATGCTGTCACCATCGTACGGCGCGCGGCGCCTCTCTTCCGCCGCCTCCGCCGAATCCGCTTCCAAGCCCAAGCCGGATCTTGTAAGTGATCCGCTCTGCCATGAACAAAGTTTCTCGCAGGCACGTCAAACTGCCTCATTTCTTCTCGCTTCCCTTGCTTCCCTCTCCCCCCTTTCCCCCTTTCTCCTTTTTCTTTTCGCCGCTGGACCACATTTTCCCAAATGCTCGCTTTGTCATGCCCACATTCTCGCTAAAAGGCCTTTATTTACCGAAGCTGCTCTTGACGGGTCGATCAGACCACGGTCGTAATCACAAGACCTAGATCCGCACCTCAGCCAGAGGGCGTTCGTCGATCCTGACATCCTGGTAAAGGGCAGTGACTGTCTTCGATCCTTCCTTCTTCCTCGGAGCCGCGTGTGTGCGGCACCCGCGCGCTCGGATCGAATGCGCGGCATGCGGCAGGTCGATAAAGCTGCAGGCAGGCATCGTTTCCCGTGACTTCCTTTCCGCCCCGCAGCTGCGTATTCTGGCTGCGAGCGCGCTCGGAACTGGTGAAAAACATTGCTTTGGTTACTAAACCAGCATTATTCTCCTGATGCCTCCTTCCCTCGCCGCAGCTGCGTATTCTGGCGGCGTGCGCGCTGGGGTCAGGTGCCGCGGCGGGCATCATCGTGAGCACCATGGATCCCAAGTCCTTCAGGTGAGCTGCGCCGGTTTGTAGCTCTTACGAGACATGCTTATAACGCATCGTCATGAGCACCATCGATTCCCAGCCCTTCAGACAGCATAAGAATCATGCGGAGGTCCCGCGTATCACATCCCACTCCCCGTGATCCCGCATACCCCACTCCCCGTGATCCCGCATACCCCACTCCCCATGATCCCGCATACCCCACTCCCCATGATCCCGCAGATCACACAGAGCACACAGATCCTTTCACCGTGTCGTTTCTCCAAATACCCCCCAGCACCGCCGTAACTTCCCCCATTCCTTCTTTCCACGCCCTCTCCTTCGCCGCCATGCATGGCGCCTGCTCGACCCCTTCTTGCGTTCGACTCCTTTGTGCACTGTCCTACACCCGGCTTCTCTCCTTCCCCGCTCCCCTCCCCCGTTTCACGACGCTCTCCTTCGCCGCCACGGACTACTTGACGCCCTCTCCTTAATCCGCCTGCGCCACGCCTTGTTGAATCGAACCCCCTTTTCGTTCCCCTCCGTCCCGCGCCTTCCCCCATCCCCCCTCTGCGCCTTCCCCCATCCCCCCTCTGCGCCTCCAGCGCGCTCTCCTTGGCCGCCACGGACTTCATACGACTGCTCCGCCTCACTCCTGTTTCTCTTTCGCCCCTCTCTCCCGGCTCCCCTCCGCCCCTCCCTCCCCCATCCCAGCGCGCTCTCCTTCGCTGCGACTGACTACATGACGCCCTTCATCCGCCTCCTCGACCCCGAGACCTCCCACCAGCTCGCCGTGCTCTCAGGCGAGTGGGGCCTCACGCCCCGCGAGTACCGCGCGGACCCGCCGTCCCTGGCGACCACGGTGTGGGGGCGGCGCTTCACCAACCCCGTGGGCATGGCGGCGGGGTTTGACAAGGACGGCCGCTGCATCGACTCCATGTTCGCGCTGGGCTTGGGGTTTACCGAGATCGGCAGCGTCACGCCGCTTCCCCAACCCGGCAACCCGAAACCCCGCTGCTTTCGCCTGACAGAGCAGAAGTAGGTCCTTTAACCCCATATTCCTGACCCTGAACCCTGAACCCTGAACCCCGATCCCTAAACCACCCCCCCCCTCCCTTGTAACCACGGTGTGGGGACGGCGCTTCAGCAAACCACCAAACCCCCCCCCCCCCCCCCCCCCCCCCTCTATCCCCTGCCGAATCCCTAACCCTCCCTTCTCTCAGGGCTGTCATCAACCGCTACGGCTTCAACAGTGCCGGCATCGCTGACGTGGCGGAGAGGCTCAGCGCGTGGCAGGCAAAGCGGCAGCAGCAGGAGGCACAAGACGGGAAACGGGCAGGCGACGGGCAGAAAGAAGCGGGAGGCGGGCAGAAGAAAAATGTGGTGGTGGAGAGGGTGAGGGAGGGGGTGCTGGCGGTGAACCTGGGGAAGAACAAATTAACCGAGGATGCGGCGGCGGACTACGTGCAGGGCGTGCACTCGCTGGGGCGGTTTGCGGATGTCTTGGTCGTCAATGTGTCGTCGCCCAATACCCCTGGGCTGAGGAAGCTGCAGGGCCGCACGCAGCTGCAGGCGCTACTGCAAAGGGTGAGTCTGGGGGAGGGGGGGGGTGGAGGACTGGGCTGAGTGCATTGCTCGAATGCTTCTCTGCACAACTCTGAAGTGCAAACATTCTGGCATTTCCTATTCCTCCGCTACTCAACTTGCCGGTTGGTCACCGCCCGCAGCATCCCATCTCACTGCCCCGTACTGTCCTCTGCACATATCGGTTGAGGTGGGAATGGCGGTTGCCCCACTCCATCTCCTTCCGTTCTGCTCTCATGGTCGACCCGCTCCACCTCACTGCCCTGTACTCTCCTCTTACTGCCCGTGACCTCCCTACCCTCACCCTTGGGTACCTGGCAGGTGCAAGCCGCACGGAACGAGATGGAGTGGGGCAAGGAGGGACCTCCTCCTCTCGTGCTGAAGATAGCCCCTGACCTCACCACGGAGGACATGGCGGATATTGCTGCTGTCGCGCTCTCACTCAAGATCGATGGGCTGGTACGTGAATGAGTCAGCCTTTGTGTTCATATCGCGTAAAGAGCTCTGTATGTGTCTTTCTTGTCGAGGAGGGACCCCCTTCACAGTTCCCCCCCTCCCCTCTGCTTGCCATTGAAGCCTCCCTGCCCCATGCCCTCAGACGCTCAGTCCTAGTTACTGTATTCTTCTCTTGTCATAAACGTCCCTCAATGTCCCCGTGAGCGGTATTCTCGTGTCACAACTGCCCCTTCTCATCGTCAACCCTCCATTTCCCCCACATCAGGTTGTGAGCAGCACCACCATCTCCCCCCCTGACAGCGTGCCGGGCCTCGTGAATGCGGAGCGGACGATGTGGGGGGACTCAATATTACTGCTGCTCCTTCCCCCCGCCAACATTGGTCGTTCCTTTCCTCCCATTTCCCCCTCATCAGGTTGTGAGCAACACCACCATTTCTCGCCCGGACAGTGTGCTGGGCCTGGTGAATGCGGACGAGGTGGGGGGGCTCAGCGGCAAGCCCCTGTTTGAGCTCTCCACTGCGGTGCTGCGCCAGATGTACTCACTCACTAAGGTGCGTAAATGGATTACAGTGGTTCTCTCCTGCTGTTGATAAATTTTTGCTGTCATGAAATAGTTTTATTTTCACTCACTTCTTTCATCTCCCTGCCTCCAATCCAAGCACTTGCTATCGGTTTGTCTCCTTTTCCTTCTCCCTCTCCCTGGTCCGCCTCAGAGTCAGATCGCCATAGGCAGCTGTGGTGGCGTCTACACTCCCCCAGTCGCACCCTCTCTCCCTCTTTAATCACTCATCGTCTCTTTTCGTTCGCCCTCTCTCTCTCTCTCACGCTCCCGTCCCTCAGGGTCAAATCCCCATCATCGGCTGTGGTGGCATCTACACGTAAGCTTCCTACTTTTTTCCCCTTCCCCTAAACCCCCCACTCTCCTTCTCCCTTCTTCTCACTCGCTCACACACACTCTCTCTCTCCACTTACACTATCTCTCCCCACCCCCCACCCCCCGCTCTCTGTCACTCCACAACCGTTCCTCTCCCTCCCCCTCATCCTTTCCCCACCATCACCATGCCATCAGCCTCTCACAGCACCGGGTACTCATGTCTCATTTCAACCTCTTTTCCGCAGCACTACCACTCCTGTCCCAACCAAGACACCTCTTGGGATGTCTGGACTTCATTCCTATCCGATATTTCTTTTCCACATTCCCTCTGTTGCACTACTCTTCCCTCCTCATCATTCCACTGCGTCCCTGTTACAGTGGCGAGGATGCTTATAAGAAGATCAGGGCGGGTGCGTCTCTGGTCCAGCTGTACACCTCTATGGTCTTCGAGGGAGCTGGAGTGGTGCCAAAGATCAAGGTGAGACATGCCCGGCCAACCTGCGTTGGACCCAAAATATGTTATTAGTTTAGACGATCCTTATTCGCACATCTTCCCTGTCCATAATGTCCTCCCATTATTTCTCGTTTTTTCCCATCCATATCTCCACCCATCCCTCCCTTTCTCCCCCTTACATCCCGAACTCGCAGAAAGAATTGGCAGAGTGTCTCGCTCGCGATGGATTTACTTCAGTGGCAGAAGCAGTGGGGGCGGATCACAGAGAAGTAAACAAGGGATTGTAGCTTGTCGATGAATCCTTCGTGTAGCAACCATAGTATCAGCCATAGCAGAATACGGAAGTGATCATCGTGGTAGACGGAATTGACATAGTACGCATATCATTCGGTGGATTATGCCACTCGTCAACAGTTCACTCTTCATGTAAATTTTATTTGCAGTAAACTTTCAAATTAATATGGTTATAAATGTTTTATCAATAGCCTGACTAGAGTCTTACTGCATACAGATCCCTCATATCACGAGTATAATTTTAAACCATGGGCAGTGGTGCAACCTCCTTCAGCTTCTGCCAAGCAGGGCGGGAAAACAAGCGGCTCCGCCACGCCTTCAGGTTTGGGCGGGAATCGAACAGATGGCCAGCTCCTGCCACCTTGAGGTGCTCGGTGACTGGCAGATGCGTCAGATCCGCCAGAGTCATCGAGTCGCCCACCAGATACTCTCTCCCTTCCAGATGCTTCTCGTAGACATCGAGGATCTTCTCGAACTGCACGTTGTAGGACAGGGAAGGGAAGGATACAGGGCTAAGCATTTTAGGACACGGAATAATCGTAATCGGGGGTGGGGTGGTTGGAAGTGGCTACGTTAGAGTCAGCTATGGATGACGCATTTCCTCGACACACGCCATAACAGATCGGACCAAGCGAAGCTAGTAACAGCGCGTATCAATGGCAAATTCAATGAAGTCGCACCTTCTTTGTCGCCGCGGCCACCTTCTCCTCGTCAGGCTCGCCCATATTGCGGAACTTCTTGAACACACGCTCGAACGTGATCGCGAGGGCCTCAGGCGAGTAGCCATTGACCTCCGTCTCGATCCACTGGTTCACGCGCCCGCGCTCCAGCGCGTCCCTCCCCAGCAGGTTCACTCCGCGCTCCGGGCCGTACTTGTCGGCGAGATAGCGCATGATGGCTCGCGACTCTGCAGACGAGGGATATAGAAATTTGCAAAAATCAGGGCGAGAAGCAACGAAGGCCACGTCGGATCGCGTCAAGCCACGTCCAACCTGTGCAATCCGATTGACGTCGGAATTCGTACAGGACCCTTCACATGAGCGTCAGTTCTACAATAAGGTAAGGACGGACGCCTAGCACGTGGGATGACGGACGCAGTGGAGCCTCCTAATTTATCTCAACCCGAAAGCAGTGGTTCGCCATAACTGCGCGAAGGCTCGATTTTACTTCCCCTTCGTTCTAACAAGGTAAATACGCAAGGCGCCATCTGACTCCGAACCACCCCAAATTCACTCACTCCAGACGCACCCTCCCCGAACGCATGCACCCTCCCCAGATGCACCCACGGTGGCAGACGCACTCACCCCAGATGCACTCGCCGTCGTCCTCGAGCAGAGGCACCTTCCCGAAGGGCTGCTTCGCGAGAAACGCGGGCGTGCGCGCCTCGCCCTTGGGGGCGTCGACCTGTTCCCACTCGTAGTCCTGCTCGGAGGGGGTGGGGTGGGGGGTTAGAGCGCGGGAAAGGGGTAGGTGTTCATTGGAAACTGGACGAGATTCTGAGACGTCACGCCCGTGGGGCCGTCTGGGGCCGTCTGCCGGATCCCACTCGTAGTACACCTGCTCAAGAGGGATTGGGGTGTTTGGTGTGCCATGTTGGGTGGAATGTACGGGGAAGTGCAAACATTCTTTCTGATGCCGCACCCCTTTTATCGCCCTTCACGAAGTTTTCGCACGGGGATGTCGTGTCTCGTCACGTCAACGGTTGCAGACTCTCGCAGCTTCCGAAGCCGCTCTTCGCCACGACATGAGACAGTGACGATGTGGAGTGTGTCAAAGCTTGGCAAGCTTATATCGGGTTTCGACCCGATACGGGACCACGGGTCTCACCTCCATGCCGTGTTCACGAAGTTCGGGCAGCGTCGCCACGAATTGTGTCAGGGAAGATCCGAACTTTGAATTGAATACCTAGGATGGACGAGCGTAGATCGGGTTTCGGCCAAAAATACAGGACCCGGGATCGCACCTCGATGCCGAGTTCGTGCAGCGTGAGCAAGACGCGGCGGACGAAGGGCGAGTAGCCCATGCCGTACAGCTTCAAACTCGCCATGACGTGGTCGCGCCGGCTCTGAGCCGATCCAAACGAGGGTACTACCCTACCAGCCGACTCGTGAAGATTGGTTTGGGACGAGCTTCACTCGTAGCCGTCTGTGAGCGGAGGAGAGGACTGGTTGAGGACGAAGATTGAAAGATCACTATTCTATTCTCCTACATTGAACCTCTCTGCTTCTTATACGTCTTCCCATCTATGCTGATGGAAGAGGGAGAGAAGGGGTCGTGAGTGACGTAGTCCATTGCGTCAGCGAGGAAGGGAGGAAGAAAGCTTCCCTTCACGCGTAGCTTCCACTCGGTGTGCCAAAGATGACGCTCAATAAAGCAAATGTTGGTAGCTGTACACCTCTACAGCCCTAGCTTAGATGTCAAAACGTGATATGATTCCATGCTCCTTAAAAACATAAGTGTACTCAATACTTCGGATTCGAGAAACATATTGATCATTTATAGAGTTAAATCATTCAGCTAAATACGCATTAGTGTGGTTATGACTTTCCACAAATAAGATACTAAACCCCTTCAGGCAACGGAAATACAATATGTAGAGAAACCTCTTCACGCTCAGCATCCAACAGCGATAGTGACCCATTCGTGCTCTGCAATCACAGAAAACAAGGCCCACATGTAAGAATGCATTTCCTTTCAAAGTAGTCACGACAAAGTTTTAGACGCAAGTTACAACTCACCAAGAATCTCCTGCACGGTGATGCGGCTCCTGGGGTCAGCAGAGAGCATACGAATGATGAGATGCTTGGCTGGTGACGACAGCTCCTGCCACCTCCAGCTGTGGCTGAACCCCCTCCTCTTCTCCTCCACCACCTTCCTCCACACACCATCGCCACCACTGCTGCTGCTGCTGCTGCTGCTGCTGCTGTCTCTGAGGAAGGGGAACCTGCCGCAGAGCATCATGAAAAGCACGATGCCTGCGCCCCACACGTCACACTCACTGCCGTATGACTGAGACAACACCTCAGGAGCCATGTACTCTGGTGTACCCACCACGTCAGATAGAGGAACCCCGGGTGTGTGCCTCGCAGCTGTACCAAAGTCAGACAGCCTGATGTAACAGCCATTGGCACTAGCGGTCCCAGTATCCTCGTTAGTAGCATGGTGCGATAGAAGGATATTTTCTGGTTTCACGTCCCGGTGCACGATGCCGTGCGAGTGGCAGTAGTGTAGGGCTAGCATGAGTGATCGGAAGATGCACGCAGCAGAAGGTTCCGAGAGCCTTCCATGGCGGGCAATGAGGTCAAACAGGTCTCCCCCCTCACAGAGCTCCATCACCACGTGCACGTGCTGGACTCGGGGGAGGGGGGGAGTGGGGGGGAAGGGATGGGGAGAAACAACATAGCAGGCATGAGTGTCACATAAAAGCCATGAACACAGGAGAAGAAGTGGGAACTGGCGCGTATTACTTCCCATTGAGCCTTAGAATTGTACGAACCATTTCTCCTCAAGCACAGCTGGAACTGCAATTTTCACGGGAGAACAAGTGATGATAAGGGTAACTTACCCTGCGCGTCTCCGCAGCCTGCTTAATCCTAATGATGTTGGGATGCCCTATGAGTTGCCACATGAACGCCACCTCATTCCGGACCGCTTCCACGTCAGCAGCGCTCTGCACAGCCAGGATGGATGAGAAGTGACAACAAGCGACAGGTCAGCTTGGAACAGATCAGGAGGTGGGGTGGGTCAGGAAGTACACAAGCTGACCCTTGAATCCATGAGCACCACACAACTGACTCAGTTAATCTGCCTGCGCCTGGAAGGGTTAGAGGTGAAAGCAAAACACACCTGGAAGCTCATTTTCCGGATGCTCTTGCAGGCGGCGTGCTCCCCTGTAAGGCGGTGCACGCATCTCCTGATCGTGCCGTACTGCCCACTGCCCATCGCCCGCTTCAGCACCACCCATGTCTGCCGAATGTCCTCCAGAGGCCGCTTAAACACCTCCCCCAGCTGCACCTGCCCCGCTTGCACCTCCCTGGCTTTCGTCTCCCTCTCCTCTGCCGTTGAGGCAGGTGCACAGATCTTAGGCACCTGAGGCTCAACCGAGGCGGCAGGTTTGGATTCTAAACCCGGAGCTGACTCCGAGGCCCGAAACCTGAGGCTGGCAGCAATGATGTCCGACTCGGCAAAATGGCTCCCAGCTTCAGCGTTGAACTCATTGACCACGTTGACCACACTTGCTGCGTTGACTGCGTTGACTCGGTTGAATTCAGGGAAGGAGGATGCGACGAGGCCGTCAGGAGCATCATGGAACCACTGCAGCAGCACCGACTGCCGCCCATTCCGCCCCACCACCCTCTGATGTGACACGTGCGTCGATTGCGTCACCTGACTCGTTTGCATCATCGCCGCTGCTTCCTTCAGCCAGTCCCCAAGCTCCACGTGGCCTGACGCGGTATTACTAGCTCCTCCCGCAACGGGAGAGCCGCAGTGAAACGCCGTCACGGCGAAGGAAGGCTCTCCGCCGTTTCCCGTACAATGCCCGCCATGCGACAGCCGCGCGGAAGGGGGCATTTGGGGCGTCGGAAAGAACGGAGACATCTGGGGCTCGTGCGGGCACGCGGAGGCGAAGGGAAACGCCGAAAAAAGCTCCGCGGAACGGGAGGCTGATGGAATCCGATTCGCCGCGGAAGGGAACGCGGAAGGGGAGGCGGGGAAGTCGAGAGTGGTCGAGGGGCTGCACCTCGCGCCATCCATGATGACAGTCGCGTCGGGATCGCGATGACAGCTGCCGCGGCCGCCATCGATTTCGAAGGACCTCCGGGAACTCGGCGCGCCGAGCTTGAAGTAGCGATGATGATTTCCGCCGCGAGCCCCGCCGTCGTGTGCGCGGGAGCGCTTCGGCCGGGAGAACGGCGGCGCGTGATGTGTAGTACGTGACGCCATTCTGCAGCTAATGCTAGTAGGCTAGGTGCCGCGCGACTCCGCGTCAAGAGTCGTGAGTCTAGGCGGCCTATCTCGCTCCCAACTCCGACTTTGGAGGTCGCTTCGCGAAGGAACTTTTGGGACCCCTCTTTTTTGAGACGAGTCGTCTGCGAAACGGGAAATGGCTTTCAGGCGTGCTACGGGGCTTGAGCACACAAGGAGGGTGGATTGGGAGAACAGAATCTCAAGATGACGTCGGCTAAGAAGTGAAAGTGAATTCGCAGTGCGGCCGTATTCATAGAGAAAGTGAATGCGGGTGGAAGAAACTCGTTCGGAGGGGGTCGATGGGGGCTGGGGGTCATGACGCGGGGCTGAGAGGAGAGGGGGGGGGCGGGGAGGGACGGGCTGGGTCCCATTAGTGCTGCTAGAGGGCGCGAGAGAACGCCGCGACGGGCGTGAGAAAGAGAGCGGCGCACTTTGGGGGGAAAGGAACCGCAAAAACTTTCTGCGGAAAAGTTGCGGAACGATGCTTTCTGGAGCCCATGCGAAAGCCTGGCGGCGTTCTCTCGGAGGGGAGAGACAAGCGCGCCATCTGGATCATTTTGCGCGCAGCTGCTGCTGCTGCTGCTGCTGCTAGTAGGGGCTCCAGCCTCCCGCTCCCGCTCCCACCGCACAGGCACACGCACACACACGCACGCACCCATCGGTTGGACAGTCAGTGAGTTGTGCAGCGCCGTGCGCGACGCCTCCGTCCGTGGCCCACACAACACAAGCCATCGCTGTCGCGAGGCGAACATCGCATGTCGCCCGGGCTGCGCTGAGTCATCCGTCGCAACTCGCGGCTCATCATGCTGTTGCCAACTTGCCAATGCAGAGGTCCTATATCGCAATGCACTGAGTCAGTGCTGTGCATCACAGTAAACGCTAGACGCGCCAGCAGTGCGGGGATGGGCCCGCCTCAGCTAGTAAGGTTGGTGAGCTCTGGCTGGGCTAGGAGACAGCAGTGCGAGGGGTTCTCCGTCCTTCGAAGGTTGGCTCTCTGGAGTCGCCGGGACGGACGCTGACTAGGCTTCGTGAGCGCGGACCCGGACAAGGAAGTGAAAAAAGAAAAATCTCCGTACTGTACAGGATATTTATCCGATTCAAAAAACAATTGGATCGGAATAGGACAAGAATGCCATCAGGGAGAACGTGCCTCGCTGTACCGGCGCGAACTGTACTCTCCCTCGATACTGTTGCATGGCCCGACGCGCGAGGAGGACACGTGAACCACTCGCCATTACAGTACTAGTGCGGAATGCTGCTTGCAGCTTGGAACGAAATCTAGAAGACTGTTTTGTTTTGTTCCAAGCTGCAAGCAGGTTGGGGGGAGAAACGGAGGATGGAGGGAGAACGGGTGCATGTAACGGGGAGCGGAACGGGGTTGATTGGGTTGGGAGGGATATGGGAGCGGGGAGGACGAGCGGGGAGGACGAGCGAGGGAGGGGAGAAAGGGGCTGATTGATGGCGGGAGGAGGGGGTGGTTGGGGCGCGGCCATGCATGATGGCTCGCACGCGATTAGATGCGGTGCGATGCGATGCGATGCGATGCTAAGCAATGGTGTGCCTAAGGACATTGGATTTGGTGAGGTTAGGGGGGAAGTTTGGAGGGGGGGGGACGGGGTGGGAGAAGGGGGTGCCGGGGGAAAGGGTTGCATTGCATGGGCCCACCGTGATTCGTGGCTCTCGCTTCAAAAGCGTTTGTGAGCAGAACTGTACAACGATTTGGTTCGCGAAAACAGATGCGGCGCAAAGTCACCTTTCCTTGTTATCAACGCTGACGTGCCCGCACCCAGTTCGCCAAAACGAAATGGTCAAGCATTTTGAAAAGCGTGGAGTTGAGAGAGGTGCATCACTGTACACGGCAGCATCCGTACTGTAGGGGGAATGCCCTTTGAGGAGCTGGATTGGAAGTGTAAGCCAAACACACGCTTGGCAGCATGTCAATGTTTGCATAAACGTGGGACTGTAGTGTGCTGTAGAAATGTACACCATTTCCGGATTACTGTCTTCAGCAGAACAGTCTTAATAGCAGTCCTTCTGTTCCAGGCTACTTTACTGTTCACAGGGTATTTACCCTGACAGCACTGTTCATCCCATCCCAACCTTATCTCTTTACAATCCAACTCAGATTTCCAATTGCCATGTGGCTCTCTAGTTTCGCCACGTAATATCATTTTGTCCCACAACTCACTTTCCCACATTTGTTCTTGCATGCTATATAAACCTTGCTTGTATTCGCCAATATCATCAATCATTTACCCGGTTTCTTCTTCGCATGCTTCACCAACAACTTATTCGCCGAATTCTTCCGCCACGATTTTTCCTCGATTTAACCAACTTCGCTATTCTCTAGCGGATTTAGGCCAAGCGGCATAAGATCGTGTTTCTACCAGCCCCTTCCCAAATAACCTCTTCCAAGTCTCGCGTGCTATAGTGTTGCAATTTTTATCGCAAAATGTTTCAGTGCGGTTCTGCAAAGTGCGAAGTGAGATTCGACTTTTCGGTATTCAGCGACGTGTCTTAAAACCTCTTTTCAGACTAGCATATTTTTAGATAGCTCCGAATCTGGACAGTAAAATTTTGACGCCAGCTGTTTTTATGTGGTTGAGAGCATTGGAACGCAAATATGTAACATGATTATTAAAAAAAAGGGTCCTGGGAACACGCTATAAAGATCGCGCGAGAGTCCGGGAAGAGGTTACTTGGGAAGAGGCTCGTAGTAACACGCTCTAACATTTAGTATCCAGAGCTTAGTGGAGAGCGACTTCCAACGAGCGACCATCGACGACGAGACTACACCGCCATCGTCCCACGGTGCCGAATTGCAGGCTTTGAGTCATCGAGCCGACTATGGATATCGCCATGGCAAATCAATTCCAAGATATGGGCAATGCACTTGCCACTCTCATTCCAAGATATGGGCAATGCACTTGCCACTCTCATGCAACAACATGAGGCGCTGATGCTTGAAAATCGCTAGGTACGGGTTGAAATGCAACAACTTCGTAAATTGGCTCACTAATCACCACGACCATGCTGCACCAACTTCTGCACCCCTAGAACCCACTACTCCTTGCTGCGGCCGCTGAGACTGTTGTGGCGGCTGTTGCTGCTGCTGAGGCAAAGGGGGTGGGGGGGGGGGGGCTGAGGTGACTGGAGTACCAAGACTGGGGAAGGCGCCACATTGACAGCAGGCGCACCCCCAGCAGCTGGGCCCCCAGAGTCAGTCGACTCCCCCACAGGCGCAACCAAGGGGAACTGAGCGGCGTGGGAGACACCAGACTGGGCCGGGCGGGCCGGGAGGGGAGCAGCAGGTGGGGCAGGGACAAGGAAGAGAGGAGGAGGAGGCGCAGGAGCGCTGCGGTGCGGGAAGCACCAGTATTAGGGGAGTGTCTCGTCGAAGGTAACGTCTCGAGATTGGTAAAAGCGGTGATGTGACGGGTGGTAGAACAGCCAGTAAGAGGTGTCAAGCGGAAATCCGAGGAAGACACAAGGAAGGGTGGGGGCTGAGAGCTTGTCCACGCTAGTGTCGCGGACGTGAACAAGGCTGCCCTAGACATGGAACGTAGATACGTCACCAGGATATCCGTTCCAGAGGAGGGTCGGCGAAACCTGTGGCCGCTTGGAGTGCTGTTACAGGTTAAGCTCGTGAGCAGCATAACGCACAGCGAACGACCATAAAAATGGGGTGCACCGGCGTGGATCATGGAGGTGCAAGCCACCTCCATGATCAGGTCGATGCGTTGCTCAGCGACCCCATTCTGCTGTGGGGAGTACGGCAGTGTGTACGTTTGGCGAATGCCCTCCGCACGACAGAACCGTCTTAGAGTGTCAGAGGCGAACTCGCCACATCGGTCAGAGTGTAAGCGACCTATAGGCAGACGGTGGTGGGTGCAAACAGTGATAAGCCACGGGAGGAGAACTGTAGGCATGTCGACCTTCCGCTCCAACGGGAACACTGTGGTCAACCGCGAGAACTCGTCAACGATGACTAGGAAGTAGCGTTCCCAACTAAGACCATGGATCAGGGCAGGGCCCCAGACGTCCATGTGCAGTGTCTGTAATGGCGCTGTGGTAGGAGGAAACGATGAGGAGTGAGGGGCGACGTACTGCCAGCCCTCAACGCAGGAGGTGCACAGTGGCGCTACTGACGGAGGCAGGGTGGGGAGCGACGCAAGGAGACCAGTGACTAGACCTTTTGTGACATGAACCTAAGACCCGGGAAAGCAGGGTGACCTAAGCGGTGGTGCCATAGAAGGGTCGGGTGGGCTAGTGAGTAACAGGAGCAGGACGCGGCGACCTTAGCAGACGCAGCAGCCAGCAGGGACTGATTCTGAGTGTAAAGAGACCTGATCTAGGATCACGTTCAAAGTGGCTAAGTGTCGACCGGTGGCTGGGTCTGTGCAAGCGGCGTAACTCTCACGGCTAGGGAACATAGTGGTGACGCCTCGGTCTTGGAGGTGACTGACACCCACTAGGTTCTTTGCAAACGAGGGGATGTGCAGACCGGTGAGGGCGCCAGAAGGGATAGGTGGAAAGGGAAGAGTAGTGGTGTTACGTACGACAGCTGTGGTAGAGGAGTCTGCTAGTGCGATGCGGACAGTTGCAGGAAGCGGGGTGAGAGCAGTACTGTCGCGAAAAAAGCACCGAGACGCGCCGGAGTTTAGGGCAAATGAGAGGGCCGACGTGGCGGGGCCCAGCAAAGAGTCTCTAACAGGTCCTACGCCTGACGCAGCTGGGGAGTCTACGCCTGACGCAGCAGGGGATCCTAGACTACACACAGTAGCAGCTCCAAGGCTATAAACAACTGGATAATAAGATCCAGCAACATTAGAAGCATCAGAATGCAACGAAGACAATGCATGATCGATATGACTCATATCCATATCAAAGTTAGGAACCCCACGACAAAGCAAGATAGGCCAGGGGGTTACCTGCACCAACGGGCCGAACTGATGACGGTAGAGGTCATCCAGTCGGTGGAAGCAGCGAGCGACGGGGTGCCCCGCGCGCCTGCACATTTGGCCCGCCTGCGGGCCAGTCAGCAATTGGTACGTGCAGGTCACCATGCCACCAGAACCACCAGCACCCTGACTCACAAAAGATCCACGCAACCCCCAGGGCATCGACTGCCCTTGGCCCCAACCCCCACGGCCTCCACCACAACCACCACCCCCAGGGTCTGCCAGCCCCCACGACTGCTGCTGCTGCGCAGTCCTCGACTGCTGCTGCTGCCTAGTGACTGACCACCCTCTCCGTCCGCACTCGCACCCTCTCCACCCGCTACTGCCAACCCCCCACGACCCTTGCCCCCCTTGCCCTTGCCCTTGCCCCAAGAGGAGCGGTCGGGGGCAGAGGTAGCCGCAGTGGTCTTAGCTACAGAGGCAGATGCAGGGACTGTCACTGGGGAGGGAGCGCTGCCCCGAAAGATAGGGATTGTCGTTGCGCTTGTGGAACCAGCAATGGCGCGGAGGCGATCCTCTACCTCAGGCAAATAGGTGGAGAAGAGGGTAAGGGTGAGCTCAGAGGAGTGACGAGCGAAGAGTGTGTCACAGGCAGGGGCTAGGCGGTCAGGGAGGCGGGTAACAAGGAAGTAGAGAGTGGCGAAGAGGGGGGGCGGGGCGAGCGCTAGCTGGGCCTCAGTACAGGCCGCATGCCAGCAGGTCTCGAGGGAGCGCAGGTGCTCGACTAAGTCTGCTACTGTGGTGAAGGACGTTAGGTCGGGGTGGAAGAAAGGGAGGAGGAGACGACCAAGATTGGCAGATGACGGGATGGAGTACCTAGCAGGGATAGTCAGCCAGAGGGCGCAGGCTGACGCAGCACCCACAAAGCAGGAGTGCTTGTCAACCGCCAGGCGCCTGAGGATGGCGACGCGAGCAGTGGCGTCACGGGATGCCCAGACAAAGTAGGCAATACGAGCAGCAGCGGGCACAGTCTGCTGCTCAGACGTCGTGTCAGTAGCAACAGCACTCGGTCGGGGGAGAGCAGGGAGCTCTCCAGAGACGTGGGCGTCTAGGGACTCGTCGTCAACGTACTGACTCGTGAGCTGAAGCAGAACTGCCTCCTGCTAGGCGGCAAAACTGACTGCCCGCCCCTCCCCATCCAGGCGCAGAACAAAAACGTCGGGCGACGCCATGCTGGCAGCTGCGGCTGTGAAGACAGAGGTGGCAGAAGCAGGGACAGCGGGGGCAGTTTCTACAGGGGCAGCCAGAACAGGGGCTGCAGTGGGCGCCGGTGGCACCGGCGGCTGCTAGCTAGCAGCAGGG